CGAAAAAACATGCATAAAAATGAAATTCAACTTTTTTCTCTTAGTTTGTAGTTAAGAACATGTGTGCTATAATCATAAAAACTCATGGAAAGTGGTAAATAATTATTTTAAAAAGAACATGATATATCGTATTTAAGATGGCGTAAGATGTGAAAAAAAATCGCATTTTGAGATAGCAATTTTAATAGCTTAAAATCATTAGTCTATCCACTGTTATCCCCTAGCACAAACACTGCTATAACTTGGAGAACAAACAAAAATAATTAAGCAAAATAAGTAATAAGAAAGTTAAGAGCACAGTAAGTACAAATTTATCATAAACTCAATTTTATAAATTTATAATAAACTCAATTTTATAAATTTATAGTAAACACAATTTTATAAATTTATAATAAACTCAATTTTGTAAAAATATAATAAACTCAATTTCATAAATTTATAATAAACTCAATTTTATAAATTTAAAATAAACTCAATTTTGTAAATTTATAATAAATTTAGAAAAAAACGAAAATTTGTCCCAAATCATGTTCTTGCACTAGTCAGATACCGTAAGACTATTTTAAACCCTATTTGCAAACTTTAGTACTATTTGCTAATGTAAACTCCAAACTATTTTCAATTTAATTTAGTTTGTAAATATTTCGATGAACAGCGAATCCACAACATTAAATTATGGTATTAATTCGAGAAAAATATTTCTATTCTTTTCAAACTCCTTTCTAATTAACCAGTTAACCAATTTTCCCTAAGCTCAATTTGAAAATTTATGTTTTCTGATTCCACAAAATTAACTTAAACGATGCAAGATCTTATAAATAGAAAATTACCATTTATAAACATTACAAACTTATTTTAGAATGAGAAGATTTAAAAGGAAACTCAAAGCAATTTTTTCGGGGGCATGACCACAGTTACATATTTTTTCTCTCAGTGTCCGTTTTTCTTTAATTTTTATTTAATTTAATTTATTTATTTATTTTTGTTTCTTCCAGAAAGCTTAGCAAATTTTAAATTTTTTAAGAGTAATTTAAAATTTATATCCACTGTAGTTTATATATTGTTTTCTTTCATTGAGTAATTCAACTTCAACTTAAAATGCAAATTTCACCTGAAATAACGTAATGATATGTTACAAACTTCATTTTAGTCAGATAAAGAATGCGTATTAATCTAATTCTGATCCTGACCTAAATGGTAAGAAAGAAAGTTTTTGAGTTACGGTTCATTACATGGAAAAGCTTAAAACACTCCTGTTATTTTTACTGTTTCTTATCAATGATGCATTTACAACAAGAAATAAACTTCAAGTCGAAAGCAGTATATAGGCTAGTAGTATAAACAGCAGTCAGAAATAAACTTCATCAAGGTTGGAAATCAATTACTTCAAAAAATATAAATTTTATAAAATGGATTATTTAAGGTAAAATAGGAAGGAAGGAATTTTTTTCACAAAATTATTCCCACAATTAAAGTATTTTATATCCAACAATAGACATTTGAGGAAAAAACTCAAATATTAATTTAAAAATTTGCATTAAATAGCAGAAAAATTAACTATTCATGCTTTGTATTAAAATATATTTTTAAAAGTTGAATTTATTACACAACTTTTCCAAAAAAAGTGTGTGGAAACTAAGATTGTATGCCACTTTTGTTCTGCATTATGACATTTATTTTAATCACTTCATCAAAATAAAATTAACGATGTAACCTTAGATATTCTCTCAATCGCTCTTGCTGAATGACAGATAATTTCTTTTGAATAATTAAAAGCTAATCGGCCTCGTTCTTTTAAGAAACAGTAAATATTGAATTATACGTCTCATTCCTGCTATTACGTATTAATATATGACGGAAATAATTTTTTAAAAAAAGTGTCACTTTTAGGCTAAACCTAATTTTTAGGCAACAAAAGTAATATTATTTTTAAGTAATAATCGTATTTGATTTTTAAAATGTCAAACCAATGAAATAATTATAAATAGGAGCTGAAATGGTTAGAAGCAATGATATAGTAAAAAGCTGAAATAGTTCGAGGAAATGAAATGGTTAGAAGTTAAAATGGTTAAAAGCAATTAAAAATTATCTGGTTAAAAACTTCATTAGCTGCAAAAATATATAAACAGGAAACAACAGTCGACCAGTTTCAGGATTTGCTCGACGTGAATGAGAAACAACGAAAGTGATTTGAAATATATCACAAAAAATTGCTAACGGAAAATAAAAAAATGAAGGTGAGAAACAAAACTAGAAATAAACTCAGTAGCCGGGAGAGAAAAAATAAGAAAGGCAGAACAAGAAAACCCACAGTGACCGAGAGAGGCAAATCAGGGTTAAATGCATTTTCATGCGCTATGGAGAGGTGATGAGGAACTAATGTTGGAGCTTGAAACGTGTTGACTGTTAATATTTATTTATTTTTGAAGTGAATGAAGTTTTTAATCAGGTAATAACTTACCTCTTAATTTTCTAGAGATTATTTATTTAATCAATACAATAGTTAGAAGCTGAACTGGTTTCATGCATCAAAATGGTTAGAAGCCTTGTAAAATTAAGTACTTATTCACTTTCGGTGTTGTTAATATAATTATTTTGAAAAGTCGCTGTAACTGGTAATTCAAATCAGGTAAAATTTGAAGTTTCCTCTCTTAACCTATGCGCCCTTATTTCTGACAAACCTTTAATTTCAATACGAAATACCAATCGTAGTCGATAACTCCAAATTGGAACTTAGTAAATCTTTGACATTGCGAACAAATAAAATTTTTCGTATTTTATTGCAATATTTTTCCTTCAATGTATTTAAAATAGTTCTTCAATTAATGAGAATTAAAAGTAGGCAAGGTTTCAAATATTCCCTTTCACCCAATGCTCCAATTTTTTCACAACCTCTGAATTTCAATGTAAAACTAGACGGGATCTTGAACTAAAAATCAAGATGTCCGAAGAAAAATTTTTATAATCTCTGGAATTGTGATTTTTTTTTCGAATTTTATTGCAGTTTTTAAATGTTTTATTAGTTGATTTTCGAAATAATTTTTCAATTTGCTTATAGAAAACTGTAACCTTTGCGAATTAAATATGGTCATAATGGATGAAAATATCTAAATATTTTCTTAAATGGATCCAATGTTAAGAAATGGCGCCTGTCTCGTAATACTAGTTCCATCGAAATAACTTATGTTTACAACTAAAACAAGAGGTAAACCACAGCGTCAGATCCAAATCATCCGGTCTCATTTCCTTCAGGTTTTTTTTTTCCATGACAGAAGCATTTTATTTTCTTTCGACGAAGCAAAAAGGTGGGAAATCAGTTGATCCAGCAACGTTGTTGTGAAATGGTGCATAGCAGACTGCATGACAGAAAAAAGTGAGAAGGTAGCTGACAAATGCTAAAATAATAATGAAAATAAATAAATAAATAAAATAGAAAGTGCTCTTTTACCAGGTAGAAAAACATAGCTTCATGCCACGTGACACTACGTCGTAGTGATTGAGTGGAGATAGCAATCGTTTTATCAAATTTAGTCTCATAGCAATGGAAGATGTCATTTTGCTAATGGACGCGGGATTGGTCGACAAAATAATGTGGTCTACGTGACCAGCACGATATGAGGTGATGTGATTTACCCACCCTAGGAAGCTTGATAAGGTTTTATGTACTTAGATCCTGGAAGAAATATATTTTTTTAGAGCTGATCTGTAACTTTTAAACAGAAGTATATTTGCAAAAAATAACTATAAATGTTACATAAACTAATAAGCTGGATTTGCAACAAATAAATAAATATTTTGTAGATATTATAGTTATTATTTAATTTATCAAAGAAAATTATAAAAAATAAAATTAATGAATATCATTTTTATTTCAATTACTACAATAATAATAATAATAATAATAGTAATAATATTTTAACAATAATAATTTTTAATAATAATATTATTTATAATATTTTACTTAATGCTACAAGAGTGTTTACGATGCGTTTATGAAATGGCAATCATACAATGAATTAATCTTTCTGCAAACTAAGATTGATAGTTCAATCACTTTTCCTTTATATTAACTTTTAAACTATTGTACTACATAATTTTAAAACGAAATGAGAAATTAAATAGCAGGTTCGTATCAATGATTTAAAAATAATGTGGCGAACAAAAATCTAATTCTCTCGCTAGCAGTTAAAGTAACAAAAGTTTTAATTGGAAAATAAATGTTAAAGTACATCATAACAGAGTCCTGCATAATACTGTCAATTTAAAAATATTTGCCTTGTGTAAAATTTAAGAAAAAAAGAGAAATGCAAAGTTGAAATTCAATATTTGGTTAAATCAGTCTTTGTCAAAATCTTATTAAATTTGACGGGTCTCTATTAAATTAATGAATAATGAAATCTGGTAAATATTACCAAAAAAGTAGATTTCAAATTTCAGTCATTGAATTTTGCAATATTATTGTTTCTGCATTTTTTTGAAATTTGCGAATTTTAAGTAAGATTTATGTAAATCATATTATATTATTATACTATCTATTAGTGAATTCTTCCAGATATAGATTAAGGGAAAGTAGATTTAAATGCTTCCATTGAATTACTTCTTTGAAAACTTTTAAAAAATCTCAAGATAAGAAAAATAATAAAAAATATCTTGTTTTTCGTCACCCTCATTTTTATATAAATAAATTATAGAAAATTCAGAGTAGTTTTAAAACTCGAATTATAGTTATCACTAATTCATCACCATTACTAATCTATAGAACCATTAAGAAGAAATAAAATTTAATCAACAGATCAAAAATCTTAACAGGGATTTTTGTTTACTTAACTGGAAAAATATTCAGAACTCCAGCTTTTTAATAGACGTAATTGATATTTCGAAAATAAAAATGCGAATATCTGTAATGCAAATTTTTATACAAACTAACAAAATGTAACTTAATTCTGTTTAAATGAAAGCAAAATTTAAGCAACCTTAAATTATATTTATTTTCGTTTCAGGACTTCCAGTAAACGTAGGAGTAACTATGTATATTCTTAGTATAAGCTCTGTTAATGAAGTACAAATGGTAAGTAAATTGCATTTAAAAGATTATCTTTTTTTGCAAATTTTGCAACTTATTTTGTCACTGAATTTCTAAGCATTTAGCATAAACTGTGTTATAATCTGAAATACATTTTTGCATAGTAAAACTTACTTTACTTACTTTAAAGCTTTAATTTATATTTATCTTCCTTTACTCTCGTTTCGTACGCAGCGATTAAAATCTTACCATCTATCACAAAAGATTAAACTACAATATTGATATTTCTTACTTTAAACAGATTCAAAGGGCTTGAGATCAAAAGTTCGTAGTTTACAGATTTAAAATACAAGCAAAACTATTTTTCTGATTTTGTCTAATCCAGTCAAAATATTGAGATACAAAAAGTTGTTCTGAAGTACTTTAAAATAGATTCTTTAGATTTCCCAATATATTTGCATTGCCTACACAATTTACGTCATTCGATTAAACTTCATTGCCTAAAACTGTCTGTTTCTTTTCATACAACTAAAGTTTTAATATTGCCTTTAAAACTTCGGTTGCATCTTCAGAAATATAAGTTTTAATTATCCAATGTCATTTCTGAAAAGAGACAATTCAAAAAGGATTCTAGTTACGTGACTTTTAAAAGCATGTTAAATAAGATGAATCGATTTCAAGTAAAATTACTATTATTTACAAGTATTACAGTAAAAATCAATTGCATTTTAATGATTTGTTGAAGAGCATAAAAGAGGAGAAATGAAGTTCGGATTTCATCGTATTTTAACAAAACTTTCATTGCTTAATCTTGATTATTAAAATATGAAATCAATAAATGTATGTTATGGAAGAAGATAAATCTAGCTTTACAAATATGTTTAAAAAATTAATATTAAGAAAAACACGAACGATAAAAATAAATACGAATCGCTAATTAGAAATATTTTGAAATATTCACGGTAAGAATTGAATGTACCAGAAAATTTGGTTTTAAAAGTTATAATTCTTCTTATCACACATTTAGTAAGTCATACAAACTGCAGTTTATTTAACCGAATAAATGGTTTTTATGCCATGCTCTGATGTATTACGATAATATTACCAAATTTTATGTAATTTACTAATTTTTTTCATATTATAAAGTGTGATTTTTGGTTAATTTTACCAAAATCATTCCCAAAGCGCTTCGGGAAAAATCACTGAGCTTATTGAAACTCACATATAACCAGAAATACGATAAATTTTACCCAATTCGAGTTTCAACCATTATTCTTTTCATCTGTGTAGGTTTTACTGCATTAGCTCTATTTTCAGTTTAAAATTGAAATTTTGCTATTAATATTTGCGTTCTGACAGCTGTAGAATTCCTACAATTTCAAATCCAACAGATGTGGTAACTAAACATAGTTTATATCACTTTTGAAAAGAAAAATTAAAAAAAATTGTTTACCTAGGAAAAACTAGTAAAACGAAAGGAACAGAAATTACGGAAAATATCTGAGGAGTACAGATTTTTTAAAGAAAAAATAGCTAGCACGAAGGCAAAAATAGTGTTTACAAATCATAGAAAATCAGTTGACTGTTCAAAGCTCTTAAAACATGAAATGAGATATTTAAGAAATGTAGTCAAATTACACAGCCAATTTTCTAATTCATGCAATTATAAAAGTTTAATTGTTTTATATTTAAAAAATACAACGTGAGAAAACGAGATTATTAAAAAGAAACGATTGTATATATATCTTCTTATCTATCATTATTATATCTCCGATATTTTATTTTTTTAACAGCGAAAAAAAGGGTATCTTATGATAGCTATATTTTATTTTCCTTTTAAAAAACTGTTTTGTGACGTCACAGTGGAAGAAATCATGAATAAGCAAACACTTGTTCTTTAGGGTTATGTTCTAAGCATTAATATTTACTAGACGTATTTTAGACTAAATTGTTGATGCTCGATAACTTCGTATTTTAGTTTTTTCTCCTATCTCGTACCATTTTTGAGATAGGAACTCTTACTCTGAAGTTTTTCCCAAGGAGGCTCTGAAAATGATACCTTGTATCAAAAAACCTAGGCACTATGCACCTAAATATGTAACAATGCGCTGCGCCCTGTGTATTTGTAACAATGTAACGTGGAGGAGAGTGATGACGAAATAGAAAAAAAAAACTGTTTCATGGAAACTGTATTTAATTTTTCTGCAGAGTATGCATAAAAGTTGAAGAAATTGCTAACACAGTTTGAATTATTTTGATCCAAATTGTTAGATAAAGTAATATTTTTTAACCGCTTAAATTCCAAACTAAAAAAAGTAGACGAAATAACTTGAAATTTGATAAATTCACTACGAAACAGCATCTAAATACAATAAAAACGAAGAGGGTTTTTTAACGATGTTTCAATTTTAGAACATAGGCGTTTTTTACTAACTGAGATCGTTTCAATTGTGTTCTTATCTTCGGTTGGTGCAAAATGACATCCACTTAGAAGTCCATGAAAATGTAATATATAATTTTGGGAAATCTGTTAATAGTTTAAACTTTCCTTCATAGATAAATGATTATGTGCTGACGAGAAATTTTATATATTCTTCATGAAAAGTTTGTAAAATACGTCAAGAGATGTAAGATTCATACTCTTATTATATTTTTATGATATTAAAATTGCTTCTGGCTGTTTCAAATCTGCTGACTCATGAAATTGTACTTTCTTTTTAGGTTTTATAATTGGGTTTTCCCTTTTCTGCTTTTCATTTGTACTTGACTTTATGATCTTATTTTCCATTTCATCTTCTTTATTTAGCATCTTATTATTACCATTTTTTGATTTTTCATGTCATCTTGCTTTTAAAAAAATATAATCTACGGACAAAAAGTGGAATAATAAGCTCTATGTTACTTTAACCTGTGTTTTCAGTTTCCATTAAAAATCATGGAACATCTATCTTTAGCTGAAATATATCTTGTTCTTCCAAATCTGAATCAAAAAACGTTTCTATGAAGGCCATTGTTTGTTGTATTGTTATGTATCTCTTTGCCATGGTGTTTAAAGCTAGATGCTTAAAGCTATTTGTAAATAAGACACATAAAAAATTACATACTTTTCTTTAGCTCACTGGGTAACAACAAATTTATCACGGAATGTAAAATAAATCACACGAATCAAAAAAGAGACACTATCAATAGCAATAATCTATTCAGTACCATTGTTGAAAATACATTGAAAAACACCTTTGATATAAAATTTAGTTCTATCATTGTCAAATAATAACAAAAAGTATAACAACCCTCTCGAATCTATCATCTTAAAAAAAGAATTCTTTTCAATGGTTATATCTTCAACAAAGTATAAAAACACTGAGCATCAAAGATGGCGTATCTTTCCTTACTTTCGAAGTATTCTGTCACTACAAATTCATTCATTTGCAGTCACCTGCAAATTCATTTCAAAAGAAGTTGAACCTTAAGCACATTCAACCTGTTTTTCATCATTATTTACTATTCATAAGTGTTTTGATATCAATTCAATTGAAACGCACCAATCGTAACTCATTAACCACTTGAAATCTAATAATATAACCATTGAAACGTTGAAAAGAAGGTAAATAAATGTAGTAATATAAAACCAATATGAAGCACCTCGAAGTATGGAATTGCTTTTGAATGTCATTTGTTTTCAGAACATCAATGCGTCGAAAATGAATTATGTCCACTGTATTTGCTTTTTAAAAATTGCAGACCTTTCTGCGCTGCAAAAGATATGAAGCATCTGTTAAGCGGGAGCTTCAAATTGAAAGGCATAAGAGTTTGATAATCTTCAAGGCATGTCGGAAAGTACGTAACGTTTTATTGTGCAGTTACTGCAGAAGTAGTGTTGCAGCTCCGCGCTCACATGTCTGCGGTTGATTGCTTGTCCACTAACACCATTACAGCAGGATTACGTTGCCTTTACATGTGTCATGCGATTCAAAATCTTTAAGACGGTTGTCAATATCACCAACTGAGAAGTGCGTTCTGTACTACGGTTTTTGAAAGCAATGTGTTAAGCCTGTTGAAATTAAAAGTTAACTTCTAGAGACTATGAGTAAAATTTAATGACAGATGGAATGATGAGAAAGTGGGCTGGAGAATGTAGGATAATTAAGTGATGGTCACACCAATGTTAATGACGAATCACTGAGTGGGCAGTTTTCTATTGTCAATAATGTCGTGGCTGAAAAACTGAATTTAGAATAAGAATATTTTGTGATAAGTTACCGCCAATTTTAACAACTGTTTTGTATGAGATGATCACAAATCAACAATAAAGGGATAAACGGTGTTCAACAGTGGCTGTCATAAATGGTGACATCTTTCCTTGAAAAATGTCACAATGTTTCCATGTCAATTTTTTGCACTGACAAATATCTGAAAAACTTTGTCACTTTGTTCAAAAATAGTTACCAAAATACTCTTTCGTGTGAAAATAAATTTTGTTTTGAAAATGTATTTTTTATGCTTGTTTTTACAAAACGGTTCTTACTTTCCGGGCACGTTTCGTATCCAAAAAATTCGTTGTGCTTATAAGCTCTGATTCAATTATAAAGAAGTTTAAATAAAAATAAAAAAAATTTAAATAAAATTTAACACTAAATCCTCTTAAAAGTTTTATTCGTCTTTTAATTTTTTTAATTCTGTACCTTTTATTCAAAATGGTCACCTCTAGACTACACATAAGCTTTAAGTATTGTGGACAAATCGTCAGTTGAGACACGCACTACTTACATGGGAATTTCCATTGTTGTTTTTCTTACAAAATGTTCCAGGCTTTTAAAATTGGAATGCCGTTTTTGGTAGATCTTCAGTTCCGATACTAACCACAATTTATAGTCGGATGGATCTTAAGCCGTACTTCTAGAATGCCAATGTTTGTTTTCAATAGAGTCCCTCTCAACTACAGTAAGGCAGTCTTTGTCTATGGTGCAGAAGGTGGTTGTGTGTCGAAATGTTTAAGAGTCTTAAAAATCTCCAAAGACCTTTTCCTTTTTTGGTGCAGCGAAATA